GCTGCATTTTTACAAGAGTCTTCCTGTCTTCCATCTTCAAACAATTCAGCTCAAAGATTCTATAAAAACAATATCCCAATACAATATTTGTACAATCCCAAGATTAGGGAAAACCACGCAGGCACATTATTCCATTCTCCTTGTCATCTTTGATGCTTACAAACTTGTTCCTAATCAAACAATTGGTGTTTTGTCAAAAATGTGATCTTCTCACAGCTTTGTTCTCCTAGCTTAGAACTATCCCAGCTTCTCCAGTCTCTCCATATTCACTGAAGTCCCTCATCCCTGCTCCCATTCTAGTAAATCTCTTCTACACCCTCTCCAATCCTCAACATCCTTCCTAAAGTATGCGGGCCAGAATTGGACACAATACTCCTGCTGGTGTCTAATGAGTGATTTATTGTGGTTTTGGACAATTTCCAAAAGTAGTTTTTTGGACAAAAGTGGTTTTGTGTTCCATGCCTCTATTAACGAAGCTGAAGATACTTTTTAAACAATATTCTCAACGTGTTTTGTTACCTGCAAAAGACAAGGCCCAGTCTCCATTAAACTAAATGTAAATATTCTGTTGTAGGACAATATCAGAAATCTATTTTCTATTGTTAAACCTTTCTTGAAATCTGAACAGTTAGTGTGAAACAAATGTTATTGCCATTTTTAAATGTAGCTCCACAATCATTTCGATAAATTTCCTGCAAAATCAGTAAACTGAACAACATCTGTATGGTTGAAAGCCATTTATTCTGCCAGGCCTTGTTCACTCAACTCTCAAAGAACACAAGAACTAGGAGCAGGAGTAGGCCGTCCGGCCCTTCAAGCCTGCTCCGCCATTCAATAAGATCATGGCTGATCCTTTCGTGGACTCAGATCCACTTACCCGCGTTCTCACCGTATCCCTTAATTCCTTTATTGTTCAAAAAAAATCTACCTTTTATTTAAAAGCGTTTACTGAAGTAGCATCAACTACTTCACTGGGCAAGGAATTCCATAGATTTACAACCCTCTGGGTGAAGAAATTCCTTCTCAGTTCATTCCTAAATCTGCTCCCTCTAATCTTGAGGCTATGCCCTCTTGTCCTAGCTTCACCTGCTAGTGGAAACATCCTCTCTACTTCTATCTTATCTATTCCCTTCATAATTTTATATGTTTCTATAAGATCCCCCCTCAAAAAGGGAGGACAGTGAAAGCTTTTAAGGCACACTCTATCATCCACAAGTTTCCACTCACTTCACCACTGACACTTTTGCAGTGTTGTGTGCTATCTGCAAGATGCACAAAAGGAATTCACCAAAGATCCTTAGCGAGCACCTTCCAAACCCAAGACCATTTCCATCTAGAAGGAGAAGGGCAACAGATATAGGAAAACACCACCATCTGCAAGTTTCTCTCTAAGCCAATCACCAGACTAACTTGGAACTACATCGTTATTCTTTCACTATCACCTGGGTCAAAATCCTGGAAGTTCCCTCCAAGGGTATTGTGTGTCAACCCACAGCATGTGGACTGCAGCGGTTCAAGAAGGCAGCTCACCACCACCTTCTGCAGGACAACCAGGACAGGTATGAAATGCTGTAACAAAAACAGAAGTTGCTGGAAAAACTCAGCAGGTCTGGCAGCATCGGTGAAGAAAAAATCAGAGTTAATGTTTCATGTCCAGTCACCCTTCCTCAGAACTGAGGCCCAGCCAGTGATACCCCTATCCCACAAATGAATAAAATAAACTCTTCTTGAAGGGCAACAGCATCGACATTAATCACTGGGAGGAATTCACTACCAATTCTCACAAACTGGATTGAGATTTTTGAAGAGGTGGCCAAGAAGATAGATGAAGACAGAGCAGTAGACGTTGTCTACTTGAAATTTAGCAAGGCCTTCATCAAGGTTCTGCATGATAGACTGGTTAGTAAGATTAGATCACATGGGATCCAGGGAGAGCAAGCCAATTGGATAGAAAATTGGCTTGACGTGAGGAGACAGAGGGTGGTAATGGTAGAGGGTTGTTGTTCAGACTGGAGGCCTATGACCAGCGGTGTGCTGCAAGGATCGGTTTTGGGTCCACTGTTGTTCATCATTTACATAAATGATTTGGATGAGAATATAGGAGGCATGGTTAGTAAGCCTGCAGATGACACCAAAACTGATGGTATATTGAACAGTGAAAAAGGTCATCTAAGAGTACAACAAGATCTTGATCAGCTGGGCCAATGGGCCGAGGAGTGGCAGATGGAATTTAATTTAAGTAAATGCGAGGTTTTGCATTTTGGTGAGACAAAACAGGGCAGGACTTACACAGGTAATGATAGGGCCCTGGGGAGTGTTGTCGAACAGAGACCTAGGGGTGCAGGTACATAGTTCCTTGAATGTGGCATTGCAGGTAGAGAGGGCGATGAAGGAGGCGTTTGGCACGCTTGCCTTCATTGGTCAGAGCATTGAGTAAAAGTGTTGAGACATCATGTTACAGCTGTACAAGACATTGGTGAGGTCAATTTTGGAGTACTGCGTACAATTTTGGTCACCCTGTTATAGGAAGGATGTTATTAAACTGGAATGGGTGCAGAAAAGATTAACAAAGATGTTACCAATACTGGAGGGTTAGAGTTGTTAGGAGGGGCTGGGTAGGCTGGGATTTCTTTCACTGAAGCGCCAGAGGCTGAAGGTGACCTTATAGAGGTTTATGAAATCATGAGAGGAATGGATAGGGTGAATAGCCAAGGTCTTTTCCCTGGGGTAGGGGAGTCCAAAACTTGAGGGCATAGGTTTAAGGTGAGAGGGGAAAGATTTAAAAGGGACCTGAGGGGTAACGTTTTCTTGCAGAGGATGGTGCGTTTATGGAATGAGCTGCCAGAGGAAGTGGTGGAGGCTGGTACAATTACAACACTTAAAAGGTATCTGGATGGGTATATGAATAGGAAGGGTTCAGAGGGATATGGGCCAAATGCTGGCAAATGGGACTGGATTAATTTCGGCTATTGGGTCAGCACAGATGAGTTGGACTAAAGCGTCTGTTTCAGTGCTGTATAAATCTGTGACTCTATAATGAACCCTGGAAGAGCTAAAGTAGTTTATAAAAAGTCTTCAGTATTGCTTTTCATCAGTATTTATCAGCATATTGTTGTGTCACAGAATTGTTACGATGTAGAAGGAGGCCATTCGGCCCAACATGTATGCATGATGTCCCTCACACTCTCTCCTCAGACCTCACAGCAGCACTTGATCAAAAGCATCAATATCAACAACAACCTAGATTTGCATAGAAACAAAACAGAAATTGCTGGAAAAGCTCAGCAGGTCTGGCAGCATCTGTGAAAGAAATTAGAGTTAATGTTTCTGTCCTGGTGACCCTTCCTCAGAACTAATGGTAGCTAGGAAAATGTTCGTTCATATGCAGAAAATAGGGTTGCGGGAGGGGGTAAGGAGTAAACAATAAGTGGGGACAGACCCCAAAGAGAGAGAAGAACAGCTGAACAGATAAAGGAGTGGATAACAATCTGGTTCGGAGTGTGAATATCTGTTAATGGAGACTGTTAGTGGCTAACAATAGGTAGTGTGTAATGGCAGGTAATGTGATAACGGCCTGGTGTGTAGGGTAGGGGGGTAGGACATGGGAGAGTTCAGGCCCTAAAATTATTGAACTCGATATGGAGTCCAGAGGACTGCAGGTTCACCAAATGGAAAATGAGGCGTTGTTCTTCCAGCTTGTGCTGAGCTTCACTGGAACACTGCAGCAAGCCAGAGACAGAGATGTTGGCCAGGGAGCAGGGTGGTGCATTGAA